CGGTCTTTAAAGTAAAGTTGATAAATACGTACATGTCGCGGTTCGATCGCCGATCACGTCCAGATGAGTCGAAAGTTCCCTTCGTCGAAAAACTTTTTGCTGGACGTCCTCGGTGTTCAAGAGCGATTATTACACGCTTTTATTTTCCTCTAGTTATCTCTTTAAGGTACGAATATATGCGGATTGGATACGGGTTTCGTTTGGAAGATGATTTGATTTGTCTGACGATCTGATTTACGGTTCGTTATTGGCTACGTACGGGCTACCGATGTACAGATATCAAAGATCTCAATGACGAGAGAGTCTCTCCACGCTTTACCCGTTAAAAACACGACGATGACGACAACACAATGATATTCTTATTTACTTATCTTAAGTTACTGTCTAAGAAAATCTGCCCGACGACTCGAGGGACAAATCGGATACAGGATTCGCGCATGATGGCACATATACATCACTAGGGACTAAATAATCGCTAGGGACTAGCAATATATATCATCGCTACACAGTGCTCTCCGTGTCGGACGCCACGGAGAGCGTCTGCATCTTCGGCACAGAGTAGTTCTCCGAGTGACCGTGACTCTGTATTCTGTTGGACACTCTCTCTAGAGTCGAGGGGGCCGACGGAGTGTCCTGGTGGGCCTTGGGAGGTATAGGTGGAGGGCTTACCTATAAAAGACAATATCAATCATTGTCATCATCTTGATTTATGAGTATAAATGTCGATAGTATTTTTGACTCGAATGCAATCGAATAAAGCTATAGAAAAAGAAATCACCTCTTGACCGGGAAGAGAATGCGAGCCCTGGAATGTGCCGCTGGCGAAGCTGCCGGTGGAGATATTGAGCGCACTTATTACAGACGGCGGGGAGATGTTCATGATGTCATTGGATCGGGAGCGCGGCTCGAAATCTTCGTAGCCGAGATTATTCAGATTCGTCAGATGCGACTGAAAGTCCAGTAGACTGGCGGTGGAGATACCGCTATCGCGCAAATCGTTCGATTCGTTTCTCGATTCTGTGATTTCGGAATCGTCGTCCGTACTCCACTCGGTGTTTGTGCGTTTATACGCTAATCCGCGTTTCGGTGGCGCCGGTGGGACTGTGGCATTCGGATTCGAGTCTCTTTTGTCTGGCGCTGCAACAGAAAGCACTGCGTTTCGCACGAGTCGCGATATATTTTTAGAGAATTTATTCTGACGTAATTTGCGACATATAAAAAAGTCCCGCTATCTATGTTTATATAACTCGAGCAACGCAACAACGCGAAGGACTTTTTCAGATGTCTTGAAAGAATTGGAGAAATTAACTTACTGCAACCTCTGGGTGGTAGCGGCGGGGCGGGCTCAGGACCAGGTTCGCTCCAAGAGCTTCTGAGACCGCCTTGATCCGCGCCGTCGGTAGGAGTAGGCAAAGAATGCCTCAGTGGCAATTTTGGACTCAACGGTTTACTGAGAGACCTCTGATGCGTAGGCCTGGGCGGTGTTGTTCCATAGCCGACGGAACGCGGTCGAACCTCTCGCTGGGGAATAGGTGGCGGCACGCCATCCACTTTAGTGTAAAAGCCCTCGTCCTCCGGAAGACCGTCGCTATCGGCGTGTGATGTCCTGGAGCCGGCAGTCTCCAAGGTAGCCGGGCGCTGCTTGTCGTTAATCGGCAGAGGTGGTAGTGGCGAACTAGAAGAATAAAGATACGATTAAAATAATTTTATAACGCTAACAAAATAGACTTGTCAATTTTCGCATTAAAAAAATTCCCAAGAGATTGCCATTGATTTCCAAGATAAATCTAGGATATTGTAGTATACATCATGTAATTTACTTGACGATGCTATCTTGATGAATGGTTCTTTGCCTGGCCAGCGGACCGAGGCCTTGTTTAAGTTGCGTGAACCTCTCGATTAATCTCTTGTGCAGCGGTTGAACGCCGGCCGGTGCGATCTGGCCATGCAATACTAGACCGGATTCGAGCACGCTCATCTGATCCAAGATCAGTCCCTTGAGTCTGTTAACGTGCGGTACCATCTCGGGATTCTGCCGCGCAAACTCCGGCGTGAGAAAGGCCTCCTGATACTTGGTGATGCCGCCCATTACATTAGCGTCGATGATACCCTGCAGCCGCATACTGAATGGATTAATATTTCTATGCGGTTCGGCGGTGTATTGCGCCACCAGCCTCCTCAATTCCCTCTCTACACTCTGCATGGTCTCGCAGGCGTACTGCACCGGCGCCATCAGCTCCGATCGCTTCTCGATCACCTCGAACCATCTGAGGATCCCCGGCAACTTCGCCTCCGTCGTCAACGTCGTCCTCTCGATCCACAGCGACTTAAACTCGTTCTCACGGTCCACCGGGCCGCGGTGCAGCGGTCGATCGAACGTGAATTTACGTACATCGTTCACCAAATAAAAGGCGACCACGCGTTCTGGAACTTCGGCACCGCTACAAGCTAGACTGCCTTCCTCGGGAATTGGTTTCACGTTACAAATTTGGATATCTACGAGAAAATGATGATTAACAAATGGGATATTATATATATGATAGGAGATTATCGATTTTTAAATTAATGGAGAGAGAGAGAGAGAGAGAGAGAGAGAGAGAAAGAATTGATTCTTAATTTAGAATTATAGATAAATCTCATCTCACTTACATTGACCTTCAGATGTCATATGATAGGAGATTATCGATTTTTAAATTAATGGAGAGAGAGAGAGAGAGAGAGAGAGAGAGAGAGAAAGAATTGATTCTTAATTTAGAATTATAGATAAATCTCATCTCACTTACATTGACCTTCAGATGTCAAGATGCTCTCGTCCGGTGGGGAATTTTTCATCAGTATCTGAGCGCAAGGAAACTCGGTTTGCAACCGCTGCGTGAACGCTCCTATTCGTTCATACTCCAAACCTCGATAGATAAATAACTTGTTCTAGAATAAAAGATACGAATCATAATTTCGACGAGTTCCTTTCACACACAAAGAATGAAATGATATGTTAATAAAATTAAAATCGAACTATTCTAATAAAATATATGTGAGATTGAACATTACGCTTAAATTGCTCCATATACTAAGCGGCCTCTAAAAATCGCTGATTCAGATAACACATCAAACTTACTCTAACGAAGAGCGGGAAGCTGAGGCCATAAAACCCGACGCGGAAATACTCCGGTTCCGGACGCAGCTGCGTCAGGATGTTATCTAGGAACTTGGCCTGTAGCTTCAGTACATGACTGAGCTTGGCATAATCGTACAGCCTAGTCTCGTAGAGGATTGCCAGCTCCTTGCACAGGGGGATACCCTTCTCCCAACACTTGCCACGATCGAGATAATGGATGATCTTGTGATAGAGCAGCTCCTTCCGCTGCCACTCCGGCTGCTGAGGATGAGCGTGATCCGGCGGCAGGACAGCGGAGCCCCAGCCCAGCTGATCGGCATACAGTTTCATCGTAAAGCCGGCTTCCGTATAATTCTCGGCGGCCAGATGTAGATCGTGCAGCTTGTAGATGTAGCGCAGGTACATCTCCTTTCGGTTGAACTCATTCTTGTAGAAGTTCTGCAGGAAGAGCAGGAGTAGCCCCATGTCATGCTCTGAGAGTTTCAATCGTTTCTACGCGGTTACAAACTGATCGACGGTTGAGCAAGCGAGAGGAATAATAAAATTTCCATCGCGAACTCGAGCTGCTAAATGTCGCGCGTGCATGGATTGACCGAATATATATTCGTTAATGTGTATGACACGTGCGTCGTCGTGCGTCGCACGGTTCGGTTAATCAACGCGCTAACAATAAGTCGCGAGAGAAATAATATGTAGATATAGTTGCGGTATCGCTGCGCGCATTTTTTAATTGTTACTAATAGCCGCAGTATGTTATTATTATTAATACACTTTTTATTGGCAACGTTATATCTAGAATTTCGAGATCTTTCTTTAATACGTACCAACAAATTTACGGTGCACGACATGCGCTTGTCACGATTCTCGTCACCCTGAATAACGCTTCTGTAATCGAGAAGTCTTTCCAATAAACGTGTGATGGATGTTATAAAGGCAGTGCCGCTGTCCTTCCAAGCCGGATCCTCGGACTGCACCCTGTCCAATAATCTGTATGCGAAAGTAAAACATTACATCATCAAGAATAAAAAATATCTACGATAAATCACGTTCGTCTATAAACGTTAAACTTACACGGCGCTAAGATGTTCCCTGAAGCAGCATGAAATTGCAAATTCGATAATTGTGGCATAATATTTTTTTCCGAAGATTTTAAATATGTTTATTAAACTTCAAGACGCTTAAAATTTTAGAAATCGATGTAAAAAAAAATATTTACGGATTAAATCGATTGCGTCAACTTACATAGTGTTAAACAACTGTCTGTACTCATCGTCGCCCTTATTCTCGCTGATCAGAATGTCCAGTTTGTCGATCAGTTCAGACTCCACCGATTTGAAGCTACCACGAGTTCGCTGCTCGCACTCCATCATGTCGAAGAAAATATGCAAGGTCGCCTTACGGAGTTCACTCTCCGGTACCAAAGTGACTTCCAAGAAAGGCCCAACCATGCCCGGTATGAATTCGAGCTTACGCTCGCCCAGATGCGACCACATGGACAATATTTGGAAGCCCATGAGTACCCTCATATCGCCATACTTCTCCACAATCTTCTCCCGCTTGACCTCGGAGAACTGTTCGAGCTGGAGCGATGGCTGGGTAAGATACGCTACCGCCAAGTTGAAGTACGTGGACCAGAGTTGCGAGTCGAAGCTGCCGTGGAGGAAGCGGAAAGCGAGCGGCTGTGCGAGCTCCTGCAGCGAC